AATATTTCAAGAGGTTTGTGGACTTCTAGGAATTAAAGTTCCCATTAATGAGTAATTAAGTGAAGACATACATAATCCTAAAGTGTGTTTACATTCTGTTTCTAAAACAATTTGTAATTATTTAGTTCCTAATTATTTCTTAAACTAACAATAAACAATTGAGTGGTGTAGGTAAAGCCTTGCTCTTCTATTTTCTCCTCCATTTGCTGCCTTTGCCCTTTGAAACCAAGATTCTTCTTATGTAAATATCATGTAGGATATCTCACCACAAAGAATATTTCACTGTAATTATTCCTTAAATATTCATGTCTCAGGTAATTAGCTGGTATATCATCTGTGATTTGCTTATACATAAGGTCAAAAACCTGAGGTAGTGCATCGTAAACTAATCATTTCTACTTTCTTTGCCAAGGTTCACTGAATCTTTTAACCTACATTGACTATGATAAAGTTAATTTTCCATATTAAAGTAATATTCAAATTAGCCTTTTAAAAATTATACTATGGGAAAAAATGAACACACGTAAGTCAAATTAAGGGTGCCATAAGCAAATAACTTGGCAGGTTTTCTTAGCAAAAAAAAAATATATATATATATGTGTGTATATGTACATATATGCATATATGTACATATATACCCATATATATGTATATATATGTATATATGTATATATACATATATATATATACATGAAGCACATTTCTCTAAGTTATTTAAGTTAGTATATTAAACCAATTTATATTTAATCCAGTGAAATTTATGGCACATATGCTAATTAGGGTAAAATAATTGATAAATTAAGAAACATTTCACTCTGTAAAAACTCTTAACATTTCTATCTCATTAGATTTTTCTTGCATCTTTAGTTTTTATGAACTTATGTATATGCCACAAAAATATCATATTGATATTAGAAAATGTAAAATACATACATTTGGAGTAAGTTATATCCCCAATGTCTCTGCCAAATAAAGGGTGCCAGACAGTCCACTATCTGCAGCTATCTCTTAATTGATAATAACTAAGAGTCCGAATTTTATATAACCATCAAGAGAATACGCTGAAAATAATTGGCTCTTACTCTACAATAATTGAACTTGAAGTCTCAGAGAAATAAGTGAAAACTAATGTATTTTGCTTTCCCATTCACCTCTTTATCTTCTATTTTTTTAACCATTTGTTTTGTCCAATCAGATTTTATTTATACCTTTTTAATAAGCTACAACTCTAACAACTGTTTATTTTAAATGTATTTTTTTAATTCACAGGTAAAATTATATGCATTTACACATACAACATGATGTTTTGAAGTCTATATGTATTGTGAAATGACTAGCGTTACCTCAGATAATTACTATTTTTGTGGTAAGAACACTTTACATCCACTCTTAGCATTTTTATGACTACCTTATATTATTAACTACAGTTACCATGTTGTACAGTAGATCTCCTGAACTTATTCTTTCTAACTGAAATTTTGCATTATTTGACCAACATCTCCCCAACCACCTGAGGCCCTGATAACCACCATTCTATGGAGACTTCTCAAAAATTAAAAATAAAACTACCTTATGATCCAGCAATCCCATTACTGAGTATATATCCAAAGGAAATGAAAACAGTATGATGAAGAGGTATCTCCATTCCCCTACATATTGCAGCGTTAATCACAATAGCCAATATGTGGAATCAACCTAAAGAATGTTTTTAATGACAAATAACCAGGGACACATTTTATTAATATAATATGCTACACCTTACTACACAAGTTGACCTTACATAAAAGCAAATTTACAAGAATATTAGCAGTAAATAATTCCTAACATCTTGGAGACAGCTTTTAAAATAATACATTTGTTAACTCATTCAAGATGTATTTACTAAGCTACTACTGTTCTATGCCAAGTGATATTCTAGGTCCTACACATGCATCATAAACCAAACTGAAAAAAAAATTAACTCTTGCAGATTTTCAAAGTTACTATAGTAGCGAGAGGAAGAGACAAACAGACAAAAAAAATACATGTAGTCATTCCTTACTTAACGACAGGGATATGTTGTGAGAAATGCACCATTCAGTATTTTGTCATTGAGCGAACATCATAGAGTGTACTTACACAAACCTAGATGATACATGCTAACTATACATGTTGTCTAGATGGAATGGCCTCTTGCTCCTAAGCTCCAAACCAGTATAGCATGGTACTGCACTGAATACTGTAGGCAATTTTAACACAATGTTTGTTATTGAAACACAGTATAGTAAAAATATGATATTACAAGCTTATGGGACCATCATCTTAAATGCAATTCATCGTTGACTGAAATTTCATTATTTGGTACATAGCTAGGTTAGATAATGATAAGTATTATGAAGAAAAATATAGCATTACTTACACATTAAGAAAACAGATCAATCTACTAAATATCAGGTCATCCAAAAATTATTTTTTTAAACTAATGTAATAATTACTCCTGAGTATAGGTTCAAGAATTTTTTTAAATCATGATTAATGTCATCTCCTACCCCTCTTCATTCCTGCCTCCATCTCAATCCATTCTTCAAAGAGCAGCTAGAAGAATTAGATCCTCCAGAGGCTTCTCATGATCCCCCTTACTTAGACCTCTCAGCACAAACTCACCCATGCCTGCCTCCAGCTTCATCATCCTCTGTGTTTCTCTAAACTCACTATATTTGAGCCGTAATAACGTTTTGTTTTTTAAAGTCTGTCAAACATATAAAGCGTCTTCCTGCCTTAGGTCTTCATATACATATTGTTCCCACCTTGGGCCCACCCCCACCTCCCTAATCCCAACCCACCTCCAAACCCATGGGGCTCTTGCCCCAGACTCTGCTGGAAGTCCACTGCTCACTTGTAAGCTCCTAGTCCCAATGACAGATGGTTTTTAATCTTTGCTATTTGGCTTCTAGGATGGGTATGTCTTACTAACTCATGTATTTTCTCTAACATGTAGAATCTGATTCTGATGGCCATTCCCTCTGAGGAATAAGATACTTTCTGGGATTTGTAGCCATGGGAGAAAGGTTTAAAACACTTTCAGATAGTTGAGGAGAAGCCACTTTATGCTTGGAATCATTGTTGAAAAAAATTCATTTATGAAAAACCACAAATGTGTAAACCATCAAATAATCCCAGATAGCAATAGCTCAGGGAATTATTATTCAGTCGCCTCATGCTAAGTATTCCAAAGAACATACACACATGGCACACACAGGGTTGGTGATGTTTTCAATGTCTTTCAGACTGAGAAATTAGATTTATTTTTGAGGATGAGAAGAATATTTTTAGAATGACTAACATATCCCAAATTTCCACCATGACACAAATTTATAAAAATATTTTATTTTATTTCCATATATGTCACCCCAATTTTTTCAGAGGCAAGAACCTATCTTTTCTTTTTTTTATCCCCAAGACCTGGCCAGAAAGAAAAAAAAAAGCTTAAAATAGATAGTCGATTAATATTTATTAAATAAATCACAGATAGTAAAGAAGTATTAGAAGCAGCCTGAGCTGAATCTAACTCTCCCTTGTCTCTATCAGCCAGGCAAATTATAGCTCAGGACCCACTCAGGGAATAGAACTCTCTTGTGAAGCATCTATTCCTTTAAACTAAGGCCTTAAGTTTTCCCAAACCCTGTAAATTCCCAGGTTCTTCTATATGGATTTATGCAAGAATGATTCCAATCCACTGGTTGGCAAAGAGAACAGTTTAATAACTGCAGAGGAAATATAAAATTCTATTCAGAATACAATGAAAGCTGTAGGGGATTATGTATTCATTTATCTTGTAGTACAGAAACGCAAATCTTCAAATAACAGAGTGTTGCCATGTCAGCTTCCTCTGGAGAGTTGAAAAATAAACTGTGAAGACAGCAGAATGATGTGATTTGTATCGGAGTCACTGGAATTGACAAAACCTAAATTCTTTTTTTAATTTATTTATTTCAGTTAACAAATGACAAATTTTATAAACTAGTAGCATACAATATGATTTTAATGTATGTTCTGCTATGCAAAGCCTCAATTCTTCATTGATCTACAGGATTCAGCTGATAACGTGAAGTCTGTCTACCTGTGTTTTTACATTTGTGAAAGAATTATACTACTTTATTACTCAGGTTTTTTTTGAGATTCCATATTCTAAAATTATGACTTTCAACCATTAAATATAAGGTAGTAGAAATATGGGGCAAAAGTTTTTGCAGTTTTGTAACAAAAAAGTAGATAAATGCAATAGGGAGTGCATTAAAGAGAATAGAAAGATTTTTTTTTAAAGGAACAGGGAAAAAAAGAAGAGAAAAGAATGTAAAAGAAAGGAGAGAGGAAGGGAGACTGAAAGAGCAAAGAAAGTGAGGAAAGAAGGGAAATATTAAAGTATTTGATAGAGCTTCCCTACCACTCAGATGCTTCTGTATGTGCAGTATTTCAAAGCTCTTCCTAGGTAAATAGCAATGTCTTTCCTTTATATTAGCACTGCTGCAGCTGCTGTTGCTCACAAAGAGATTCACAAATCAAAATAGAATCAGTTAGCTTTTCAATAATTCTGAAAAGGTAGGAGAACATTGCCAGAGAAGGATAGCACTCCAGTATCCTAACATGGAGTCTTGTTAGCAAAACAAAGTGTGAATTGCTTAGATAATTCCCTGCTGTTGGTAATTCCACTGGGTGCCGCCTGTGCTATTTCCTCTCTATAGACCAATGCCATTGAACAGGAGATGTCAGAATAATATGAAAAAGTTGCTCTTTTGAAATGTTTAGTCTTTTGGATTTTTTTAAAATGTCAGCATGATTCATACCTATTGGTTCTTAGCCTGGAGCACCCATCACACCAGGAACTGAGGAAGCTAGACCAGGATGTGAATAATGAATGGGCTGCATAAGCAGAAGTCTATACCCAGTCAATAGTAAAGGCATGTGCAGAGTTGCAGGCCAGCATTTTCACAGATTCTTACTATTATTCTCTCTCTCTCAAGGGAAAACAGGAAAACTAGGAAGAGCTAGCAAGAACTAGCAAGAGCTTGAACAAACGCCTGGACTCAGATTAGAAGACTGCTCATTTGTCTACTGCTTCATTCCTGGAAATCGCACTGGAACTGCCTGATTAAGGTATTTGGAAAAAACAAATTTTGATGCATTTTGTTGATTATCGACCTCCTTTATCCATCCATATCTTTTGATATGTGGTGACAGAGCGGAGGGGGTAGTATTTGTGCCGAAGATTAGAAGATTGAAAAAATGTATCTCTTTCAAAATTTTTGTAACATTAAGGGGAAATTAGTGTTTGTCACATCTTCTGAAATTATCACTAGTATTAATGTTTTTGAAATGCTAGTTTCGTTGGTAGGGCACTGGCTCCTTGTATAACATGTTTGCTTTCTCCCACTGTCATTTTGTACTACATCAAATCCAAAGTTGTCATGGTTCATTATCTGTAGATGATCTTGAGCAGCCTTGCATTCTAAAAGAATATGCCATGGCAGCTGCCTCTGTGCTTTTGTGGCCTGATGCACGGATGATATTTTAGCAAGAGTATTGGGGGAGGGGCTAGAGGAGAGAGCAGAATTTGTCTCAGACCAATGTTTCTTTGCACCATGCTGTGTCTCATTCTTTCATACATGCCTAATTCAGCAGTGAAGTACATATATCACACTGTGACTATTACATACCTAAGAGTACATAATTGGGGTTGTAAAGTATCCGTTGAATGTCTTAACTAATGAATTCCATCAAATTCAATTATCATTCTTAGACTCTTCATTAACCAATCAAATTACTCCTTTGGTATAAGTCATTTCTAAGACACGTTTATTAGACATAAACACAATTCTATGAAGTAAATGTGATGTGATTAGATTATCTCACGATCTTTACTTTGAGTCCCGTGCTACTGAAGTTTGGATTTCTAAAGAATAGTCTTTCACATTGCTTCCATTGTATACAGGAGAAATAACACTGCAGTGTGAAGCTCTGTCCTTAAGACTGTTTTACTACTCTATCTTAAACTTTTTCTTTTCCCTGAGGAAGTTTGCTACAGTGAGTCACCAATGCAAAAATACATAGAAATATACCAATCATATATGTCTGTAAAATTAACCTGCTTATTAAATAAATATATCTATAGACATGCCATACTGAATCATAATGTTCTTCACCTTTTAGGAATAAATAATTTCAGTATTATTGTTGAAACTTTTTTTTCAAATTATCATTTCTTTACAAGTAATTCTGGAAATGCATATACCCAGTATTGATAGTACTGAAGTTTTCTAGGAAATAACTGCCACATTACTAATTTACATTGGATATTTCAATCATTTTACAATGAAGGGCAGGTGCCTAATGTCCTTGCAGTATGATTCTTACCATACAGATCTTAAAATATTTCCACTTGTTCTCTTCTACTTTGATGTCTTTTAGGAACATTTTCATCTTCTGTCCTACAACTATTTTGAGAAGCATCTCAAAATGTGATCTAAAGCCAACCTACAAAAATATGTGCCTGGGTTCCATGCCAAACTTAAGTCAGAATCTTTGGGAGTAGGCCCTAGGACCAGAATTTAAAATATGCTATTAGGTGATTATAATGTACTCCAAAGTTTAAGAACCACTGCTTTACGAAATGAGAGCAAGGAAACAACTGATAGAAGAGCATTGTAAAACTACAGACATATAACTGATATCAAAAATAAAAACATGAAAATCAAGTTAAATTTGGATTTTAACTTTTTTCTACATGTTTTCATTTCTTGGGGCTGCACTAAGGATTCTAGGATGTTTATTTCCTCTTTAATATAAGTCTTAAACATTTTAAATTAAAATTTTAAAATTTAGTGTTAATTAAGGATATTAAGGATATGTATGTCTCTTATTTAAAAGCTTTTCCAAGTTGCCTAACAATGATTGATATTTATAATGGTTAAAGATATTAAATTCACAGTTTGCATAATTCATTATTATTTTCATATTTGAATCTTTAGTTTTACAAAGCTTTATAATAACAAGTCTTTTAATATCTTATGTATCTAATAAACACCACTTTTTAAAGAATTTCAACCTATGTTTTTGTTATGGTGTCCATTGTGATCAACTACCTGGGTGTCTTACTTTCAAAAGATGCTTTATTAATACAACTAAATTGAATTCTTTGAGCTTAGATTTGAATATTTCCATGTTATCTAATGTTAGTAAGATAATTTTCTCAGTGCAACAAGTAAGACATTGTTTCCCAATTTAATATACCAAACTCTAAAGTAAGTATATACCCAAATGAGAGTTAGGGGACAAAGAACTGTCTTCTGAACCATGAAAAGACAGAATGTCATGATTACCTCAGGCACTGAAAGGCAGCAAATATCAACATTAGTTCTAGTAGAAAGACTGCAGAGAATGTTTGACCCATAAAATTAATTTTTGCTTCCTGCATAGCCAACTCCATGGAGATAAAGTCTAAAAAGGGAAAATGGTCAAAATCTTTGGTTTGTAGGTTAACTTACTTTGTAAACTAAATATGTCCTGAAAATACTGGAATAATTTAAATTCTTTCCATGTCCATAAGAATCATTTTATAAATCAAAAAGTCTTTTGTTTTGAGCTAGTTTTAAGGTTGTATTTAGATTATGGACAGGCACTACTGTAGTTGGGTTGTGTTTCAAAAGTTTTATTTAGAAGTTAAATATTTGGGACTCAAAACTTATTTTCAAATAGAAAGAATGCTATACATGATGTTTCATGCCCAGATTCAATATTATGAAATCCAAAAAATTATATATAGTAAAATTATATTATTTATAAAACTAGAGAATGGAAGTGAAGAATCATTTAAAACAATACTATATGATCCTCAAAATTAAGCCAATTAGATCAAAAATATTAAATTATACATTTACTTTGAATATCAATGCTAAAGGAAAGTAAATTTGCTTATAAATAAATGAGAAATTAAAAGAGATGGTAGGATATTTTTCTAAAACACAGAGAAAGTGGGGTTCTAGCAGAGCAGTATTATTCCCCTGAACAAGGGAAAATGAGATGGAAGGGAGAGATGCCAGGTAGATTTAGAGAATCAAAAGCAAAAGGATCTCAAGTATGGGTGGCCAGCAGCATCGAATTAGCTATTAAATAGAAAATTTGCTTGTAAATGGTATGTTTATAATCCAGAAGAACAGGTGGATTCAATTCTTTTTTGTTGTTTGTTTGAGACGGTTTCACTTTTGTTGCCCAAGCTGGAGTGCAATGGCACGATCCTGGCTTACTGTAACCCCCACCTCCCAGGTTTAAGTGATTCTCCTGCCTCAGCCTCCCAAGTAGCTGGGATTACAGGGATGTGCCACCACGCCCAGCTAATTTTGTGTTTTTTGTAGAGACGAGGTTTCTCCATATTGACCAGGCTGGTCTCAAACTCCTGACCTCAGGTGATCCACCGCCTTGGCCTCCCAAAATGCTGAGATTACAGGCGTGAGCCACCACGACCAGCCTCAATTCTTTAAAAATGAGTAAATAACAGGCTGGGCGTGGTGGCTCATGCCTGTAATCCCAGCACTTTGGGAGGCTGAGGCAGGTGGATCACAGGCCAGGAGATGGAGACCATCCTGGTCAACGGTGGATCACGAGGTCAGGAGATTGAGACCATTCTGGTCAACATGGTGAAACCCCATCTCTGCTAAAAATGCAAAAAATTATCTGGGCATGGTGGTGGGTGCCCATAATCTCAGCTACTCAGGAGGCTAAGGCAGGAGAATTGCCTGAACCCAGGAGGCAGAGGTTGCAGTGAGCCGAGATTGCGCCATTGCACTCCAGCCTGGGTAACAAGTGCGAAACTCCGTCTCAAAAAAAAAAAAAAGAGTAAATAACACACCCATTTAGAAAGCAGCTGTGTAGAGGAATGGTTAAAGAGAGAAAGTGAGCATGCATGCTAATTCAGTGAGAGCTAATGCACCTCTGGCCTTCTATCAGTGGCTTTTTCTCTGAGTGGATTAACTCCTTACTCAACCCTTTAGTGAGCTCCATTTTCTACGGAATTCTACCCTTTGTTTCTTTCTAAAAATTCTGCATCAAGTGAGCCACATTTACCAATTTGCTGCCTTTGTCAGCACAGTTGTTCATTTAATTTACGAAATATTTATTGAATACCTACTATGCAGTCAGCACTTTCCAAATTTTGTTACTTTTAGCCCAGACTTTAAGACACAAAGAATATTTTGTTGTATTTGAATTTTAGTGTTTTGTATTTTACCATTTCTCTTTATTTTTTGTTTCTTAAATTTGGATAGTTGAAGGGAACAGAATGGAGGGCTAGCAGTGTGGATAACCCCGAGAAGAAGACCAAAAAAGGAAGTACCTGTCTTATTCCTCTATTCTTCAGATTTTAAGGAGGTCTTAGCAGTGCTCAGTAGAGCCCCCAACACTTCCACTTAACCTTAAAAACAATTGTTAGAGATGGAAAGACAAAGAGAACTATTTGCTCATGATAACAATTCTCTATTCAAAGTGAAGAAAAACTAATACATTCAAAATGAAGACCTGCAATACAGAGCACTTTTTGAGCCGATGTATCTTACTACTAGGCTAATCTATGTATAAGAAGCAAGAAGTCAGAAAGGCATCCTGGAAAAATGGCCCATAATTCTGCATCAACTGTAATTTTCAGTAAAATAAAAGTCTAAATCTCCATTACTAGTTAGTTTGAAGTATAGAAGATCATCATGTAAGTTTCCAAAATTCCTTCTAACTCTAGAAATTCTGCTGGAGAGACAGATGAATAAGACTGGGAAAAAAGAATGGCTCATCTTTTATTGAAGAAAGATGTTTAGAGGAAGTTTTAAATATAAAGCACCCCTTCTTTCCGTTCCATTTTCAAGATACAAGAGCAAAGGATGAGTGTCGTCAACATTCAAAGAAGTGTCTTAGGGCAGGAATGAGCAATGTCTATGTTGAGTTATCTGAATCTATTTGGCAGCTTCTGAAAGCTACTGTACAAACTTGGACTCAACAAGAGGATGATGGTATATTCCGACAGCCTTATGTGAATTTTCCAAATGGTTTTTTCACCCGAAGCCTTAGAAGTGATACTTCAAAATTGTATGACTGATGCTGTAACATCAGTTATA